AAGCAAGAAATAAACTTGGAAGTCCCTAAGTTTCAAATGGTAGCCCTGGACGGAGGGTTGCTGCTTGTCTGGGGTTTTGCACAAAAATATTTTTGGTGTGGAGTAATCTAATAAAAGGCTTGGAAGCTTTTCATCTCCTGGGGAGAACATAATTCATAGCTTCCAGGGAAGATTTAAATAGGAACACAACGCCAAAACAGAGCTTCTGCCCAAAGGCTGCCACAACTTTGTCTCCAGGCCAAGGAAAAATCCATCCCACAGGAGATGTGGTGCGTAGTGCTCACCTGCCTGCCGCTGCCCGTGTGTCTCACCAGGAGAGAACAGCAGCTGGCTTATGGGGGCATACCCAAATTACTGCGGGTCTTGCTACCTGCCAGAGATGGACGCCAAATGCAGCAGGGGCTGCCCTGACTGAATTGCATCCTCCCGAATGTTTTTGCTCGAGTTTATGGGATCCTGCCTCTGGTACAGGGATCCCAAGCTGCCTCTGGAAATTTTGGGCCAGCAAGATATAGATGAAGGGATTCAGACAACTGTTGGCATAGCCCAGGCTGATAGCCACATTGTAGGTGTAGTAGAAAGGCAGGGTGGGGCAACTTATGGCAAGCTGGGCCAGTTGCAGGATGCGGAAAGGTGCCCAGCAAATGAAGAAGGCCATACAAATAGCAATTGCTGTATGGACCAGTCTCTTGGTTCGAGCCCTGGTGCATCATTGGCTCATCAGCACTTCTGAGGACCTGGCCATCTTGAGCAGGATCCTCCTGTAAGCTGCTGTGGTGAGGGTAAAAGGGATGGCAAAGCCCATGAAAAATTGGTAGAGTGTACCAATAAATGTCTCTCTGGGGGTCTGGCAGACAAATCCCACAGCCTAGTACACCTCCAGGCAAAGAGATGAGCTGGGCATATATCCACACAGGCGTAATGCTGAGGAAGGAAAGGGCCCAGAGTGCACAGATGACAAGGTTTGCCATAGGGGGCTTCCTGAAGCCAGTGGAGGTGAAAGGGTAGACAGTGGCAAGGTAGCGGTCGATGGACATAGCAGTGAGGATGTAGGTGTTGGTGAACTGGCTGTTGGCATCTGGGGCAGTGATGGTTGTGCACATTGTCCCCTCAAAGAGCCAGGCACTGTTCCCCAGTAGCTGGTGGATGAGGAAGGGCATGCCCAGGAGGAGGTCCACCATGGAGAGGCTGATGATGAAGATATCTGAGACGCTACTGCTAGGGCCAGAATTTTTTAAGACTGTACAGATAACCAGGCTGTTATCAATAATGCCCAACAGGCAGATAATGCCAAATAGGGTGGGCATGATGAAGCTGCCATAGCTCATCCTGCTGGGGTCATCTGCAGAGACATCATTAGGCAGGAAAAAGTCAGCTGTGCCAGGACCACTGGTTGAGGACACGCATTGTGGATAGTCCGGCTTCTAACAGAAAACGAGTGCTCTGAATGCAAATAGTAATGATTTCTTAGGCACGTGTAAGGTGAGGAAGTGCTCTGTGCATCTGGTCATGTCTAACCACACACAGGCACTTTCTCAGCAGCTTTGACAAATGTGTACATTAAAACATGCGTCTCTAATCAAATGCGCATACACTCATTCTTCCCTTCATATGTACGAACACACATTAATAATAGAATGGAAGAGCACCAGTGTGTATATCACTTCACGTATGTGCATTTAGACCCTTTCAAATGTATAGATATATAATGGATACATTTCAATATATATATATATATCGATGCATATGTTGCTTAACTGTATGGGTAATAACATCCATTCTCAGGCTTTCTTCAAAACCATTTCACCCAAGTGATTTCCTCCCCCCCTGCCTACACCTATTATAGTTTATATACTAATGTATATTTTCACTTACCTGTTTATTGCACTTACCAGGCAGGGAAAAGTTTTGAACAGCCTTGGAGCTGTTGGGGATGCAGCTGTTCAAGCTCTCACTGTGATTTGTTTTAAAATCCATCCTTCAGGAAAAATTGGTCCCTATCAGTATCTTGAAGATGTGTTTCATGTTGAAAGAATAAAGGTTGCAGATTCCTTGGAGATCTGTGTGGCTGCTCAGAAAGCCACTGCTCTAAGCATCAGCAGAGGCTGTTGATGTGAGTTAAAAGGCAGCTCCTCTGCTCCCTGCACCACCAGCAGGCAAAAGTGATGCCAGGATGTAATGAGGCAGTGCCCGTCACCAAGGCTGGCAGCAGAGTGCTGGAAATACGCTTGCAGGGAGAGCAGAATTTTATTTTGTGCTGAAGGCAGTGATTAGGATCCACTGATAGACTAAGCAATGAGCTTGTGCTCTGGAAAGGCAAATGGGTTTTCTTGAAGAAAGCAAAATCCTCTAAAGAAAAAGATCAGCAGCCAGCACTGAGAGCACACTTTGCTTTCAGCATCTAATTGAGTATAAATGTCTCAACATAATTCCACAAAGAGCTATGTTAAAGCCTGAAGTCAAGTTTGCAGCAAGATTTGAAAGTATAGATTGTGGTTAATCTCTTTAGATTCTGAAGGAAAACCATCCTAAAGGTGAAAAGGTACAAGCTTTGTGAGTAAGTACGCAGAAAGGTAGTCTTTCCTGGCTGTGCCTGCTAAGTTGTAGCACAGATGATAAACAGCATCATTATTTCCCCTCTGTGAAGTGCTTTCTCCCTTTCAATTAATTTTGAAGTCTCAAGCACAGTAATGGAGTTATGCATGTTTCATTTCAGGCAGACTGATCGAGAATAGGAGATAAACAAGGGATTTATTTTCAAAGTGTATTTGAAATTACAGCAGTTTGGCATGTAAAAAAGGCAAAACACTAGAAACATTAAATGAATGAGGTAGCAACTGTGTTATAATCAAGTCACGGTAATTCCTGCTTTATTTCCCTCATAACCATTAGTCTGCTCTTAGCAGCCAGTAAACTCCTGGATTGAAGGTATTATTGCCTAGAAAAAGTAAGATTTTGAAAATAAGATCAGACTCAAACTGTATCCTGATGATGGGGGCCAGCAGTCTGGCAAAAGGCAGGAAGGATTCTGCAATGACTAGAATGCTATTCCAAGGCTCACTTTTTGCTATTTGTAAGAGCTATTTCTAAGTGCTAGAAATCCTTATTTCAGTACTTCACAGCTCTTGAAAGCAGGCACCAGTCCATTTGCACAAGGGATCATGTATTCTATTTACCAGCCGGTGCAAAATGCCTCCTTCACCTCAATGCCCCCAACATATTACCTAGTTGGAGTCCCTCCATTTGCAAACACCAGTCATCTGTCAGTGTTGTGCAGTCCAGTGTATGCACTGGGGAATTTGCTTTTAGGGTGTACTGCCTACAGCTGCGGTGTGCATGCTGTGCAGCCCCACACAATTGCTAAGAACAGCATTCCATTCCCCCCACTGATCCTCATCTGCTGCAAACTGGCAGAGTTCTCGTGTAATTGCCAGCAGCTGCAGATTTGATCCTGAAGTGGGGGTACCGGCAATGTAAACAACTATGTACATACATTACTGTTTAATCTTTGTTCCCTATTTCAGATGGCTTTCTCCAGGCTGTACGTCACATAAACAGTATCACAGCACTACCTTTTCTTACAAGGAAAGTAGAGAAAGTACCTTTTTTTTTTTTTTTCCCTGTTCCAACCACTTGTATACTACTATCAACTGGAAGTTAAAACAAAATCTGGCTGGGATAAAGCTTTGAAGCAACCTGAAAAACCAAATATTTTATCTACTTGGTAAATGATGAAAAACCTCCTGTTATGGGCTCTATTCTCTAAATCCTTCACATTTAACTGGGATTTAGCAAATACTAGAGCCCTTTATGAACTAGCATTGGGTCCTGTCTGTCTCCTGCAGACAGTAACACGGTGTGCTAAGGAAGGGCTCTACCGCTGAAGTGCGGGGCCGGCCTGTCACTACAGCTGAAAATGTTATCACCAGTACTACGTGGAACACACTGGGGCTCAGATAAACTGACTCCACGTTGAAGTCAGACAGCATGTTGGTTCATGCAAAGCTGGGGTATTACACTAATTTAGTCGTTAGGATTCTGCATTTCCTTTACAGGCATAAGAAGGGGAGTAATCTGCAGCTTGTGGCTCAGCAACGTTGGCCAGCCAGAATACTTTAACCATGGAGAGAAACTCAGCTCCAAATGTAGCCCTCCTAGGGGTAGATCTGGAAAAGGTGTTTTTACTGTAGAATAAATAGAACAACAAGACAACCTGGTTAAAGAAACAGCACTTTATTAAACTAATACAGTTAGATACTTTCTTAATGCTTAAAAATATTACAGCATTTGCAAAAATGAAAGAAGTTTAAATAACATACAAAAGTTACAACCAAGAAGCAAACCAAGCTATTTAAATACCTAAATGAATATGACAAAATGCAAGACCTAACTGCATACCACTGATATGATGAGGCAATGAGAATAAGGAAAATATACCTTCAGAATATCGCAACATCTAAAGGTACATAAAAGCTTATACCATGACTTAACATACAATAAACCCCAATTTTCCTCATATAATAAATAATAAAGCATTAGCACAGTATGCTCATACTATTTTAACAAAGGCTGTTACGGCTTAAAAGTATTTTTTTAACATTCAAAACACATTTCTGAGCTTTGATGCTCATGCATCAAGATGACCAACTGCCACATACAAGTTTCAAAAGATTGTACATCCACAACTCCAGTAACAAATGGGAAGTCAAATACCCACCTATCCTTTCTTTCACCTAATTCTCACTGACTTAACAGTAGCAGTCATTATTACATCCCTTTACCAAATTCTGTGAAACGTTCCATCATGCACGTAGACAGTATTGCAGCGCACTGCTGCGTAACTGTTAATATTAGTTTTATAGTGACAATGGAAGATGCATATTGATTTTTTTCAGTTCCCATAAGGAGCATACAAAGGTTGAATGCTCAACGAGTAAACAATTACATTGCAAAGGTCATAGTAGTACAGCTAAGTGCCTATGAAGTGGGGAGAAACCCACTTACTCATTCTTTCCATTACTGGCAGGAAGATCTAAGACAGAAGGACTCTTCTGTGGCAAAGTTCCATTAACTTCTTGCTTCCTTATCTGACCCCTGTGTACAGGAGAAAAGAATGGGTTTACAGTCTGTTCTTCCATAAGATTATTGTCTTTTAACTTTTTGCACAAAAAAGCTGAGCAACGTGAGATGGAAACCTGTCTGAGGCTCCTGGAACATCCATTGCCAGTCAACTGGAGCTCCTCTCAAACAGGACCATAAGGAGAGCAGACACTGTCTGTTTTAACATCAAAGCTGTAAGTCAATATGACTAGTCTGTAGGTTGGGTTGTGTATTGGGGTATGGTATGGAAAAAAAAGTCTTTTCTGGAATTGGTGGGCATTGTTACAGACCTGGCAGCATGCCTTGGAAGACTGGTACGGAGCCCTAGAACAAATGCAAGCACCCTGGGCCTTGGTGACATGCCATGGTCTTGTCATCCTGACAATATCACCAACTCCACAGGCAGTTTTGTGTATCCTTGAGAGCTGTGCAAGAAGCACAGCTGTGATGAAGGAGCAAACAGAAAGTCTAGAATGGAGCAGCTGTAATTTTTCTTCTTGCTCTTCCCTGTGCTTAGGATTATCATTATTCATTCCCTGGTAGATATTTAAGCGGGCAACAGGTGGCACTCCAGCACAAGCTGCTCGTGCCTCTCACTCCTAGCCAGGTGCTTGGTAAAGGCATGGCCAAGGCAATGCTGACTGAAATAGGCCTCCAGGCCTGAAGTACTAGGAGACATGAACAGCAAGCTGCACGTGTGCAGCATCCAGCAAAACCTGTAACTTCTATTCTGGCCATACTGTCCCTTTTAAGTACCTCTGCCTATCCTAAATCTAAACTAATTTTAGAAATCACAGAATCATTAAGGTTGGAAAAGACCTCCAAGATTGAGTCCAACCGTCAATTCTGGACCATTACTCTAGAAACGCAGGTAAGCGGAGACAGCTGGGTAATTATGCAGAAAGAACTGCAAAAGGTTCATCCTCTAGGCAAAAGTCCAATTTGGAAGTGTGTTTTAATGACATTTAAAGCAATGAATACTCTGAGACAAAGTTGTATTTTATTGCTCGATGACGTGTTGTGTTAGCACATGCATATTTAAAGACTATTTACATTCCCTCTTTCCTAAACAGGAAAGAGGGCATGTATTAATTCTCACTAAAATATATATTGATGACCAGACATTTATATGCTGCACATTAAGCCACCAGGGTAGCCAAAGATGCTCTAGCATTCAAGAAACATTTGTTTAAACTAAGCAGCAGTGGCTCACTTAGAATAAATGAAGTAATCAATGCAATAGTATGGTTGCACAGTTTGAAATCCAAGCATGGATCAAGACATCAGTACTCACTTTGAAGCATACCAGTAGTTGACCAGAGTTGAAAGAAGGACGTAACAAACACTCAGTACTCCAGAAACTCCCAGTGAAAGTGCACCCAGGCCACACAGCACACAAAGGAGGGCTACGCCACCTATGGCTATTACAACACCTAATAAAGGAAAGTCAAGTTTGTTATTTAAACGAGTTTATATACAAGTAAATTAGAAGATCTGACATTCTACCACATCCCCAATTTCAAACCACCTGGGAAAATAGTCTTCTGTAATCAACTAGGCAGCCTCTATAAAAGCTATGCATGGTTGAGATAACTGGTTTAGGCATATCCTGGTGGCTGAGATTAGAAAGTGAAACAGGATTTCCCCCTGTATAGACTACACTTAATCAGATTATTGTTCTTGTATTAAGAGTTTCACTACTGCTGAGAGCTGAGGATACATAGAGAAATCCTCAGCTGCTCGACCTGGGAACTCCAGAAGGAAGAAGAAAAAAAGGAAAAGACATCATGCCTTGCAAGGGAATAAGTAGGTTCACACATGCATGCACACAATACCTTCCATGACTATCACACCGATACAGGCCATGATGGCTGTTGTAACAACAAAAATCAGGAAAAATGCAACGGGAATAGCAGACACTGCAATAAACATCAGGAGTGATAAGGCAACAAAAGGATGGTCATCTAAATATTGGCCAACACGAGAATTCATAAATGCAACAACCTGTGGATGAAAGAAAAGCATTTCAGAGTTTGTTTTTATCTCTTGTCACGGATTACTTTTAAAGATCACTGCTACTTCCATGAACTACAGGTAATTTCTTTTTGTAAGTCTGCAGCTTGAATAGAGGGCAGCTGTTGCCTCCGGTTTTCAAAAGCATAAGAACTTATTGCAAATTTAGATAATTTCATAGCAAATACAATTCTACGAACACAGGCATGTTTCTTTTGGACTTCCCAGTTCCACTGTTATACAAATTAAAAAAACACAAACAAACAAAAAAAACCCAAATCACGGTTTAGCTGCACAGATTTCAGTGGGGTCTCAACAGCTATGATTTTGATCTAGAAAACTGTATTTGTTAAGAAAAAAAATACTGTTAACATTTAAAAATTATGATGATTTTTATTTTTCCATGCCTCAGTAGTATCTGCAACCTGCTCATTTATTGAGCGTTAAGTACAGTGCAGGCATGTCTGTATCACAAAGTTGTTAGGAGTTTAATTATAAAGTTACTGGTAGAAAAAAAATCCTTTTTACAGAGGCAGTCATAGCTATACAATGGAATTTTACTGTAGTAGAGTCATTTCCCTTCCCTTAAGGAAATATGTATTGTAGTTTTAGTTCTTTTTATAGCAGCACAACCATTTCACTAAAATGCCACTGTACTATCATCTCAAGTGGTTATACCAGTAAGAAACAGAAAGGCAAAACAGGCTTCTTTTTTTCATGATTGCTGAAGGCATGGGAGGACAGATCTTCACATAGGGGCCTCAGTGTTCACTTGAAAAACAGGGAGTGACAATTTTCCCCTTCCCCCAAATTTTGAAATTGCATTTAAATAAATCAGGGTGTGATATTCCAGGAGTTATGACAGGAGTATCTTTATAAATACATAAAATTATAATCCAGACCCACATTTGAGTTGCTGTGGATGGACTGCATCATGGAGTGCCATTGTTTCTGCAGTTCTTGCATTTCTTTAGACATGTTGTAAACCTCAGCCACGACAGAGAATCTTCTGAACAACCAGTTCTCACTCAGCCATCTGATTCTCCTTAAAATTAAGGTGCAATTAGTAACAAGCTCATACAGATGTTTTTTGAAAAAGAAATATTTCTTTTTGCAGAAACAGAGAATCTAGATTTCAGATGTTAATGTGATCCACAGTCTAAAACATTACCTTTACAAAAGTACATCTAATGCAGGGGGCTCGTCCCTGAAAGCTCTTCCAGAACTCCCAAAGCCAAGTATCAGGATACAAGGTGACTCGCGCCTTCTTCCTTTATAACCTTAAACCTCTATTTAACCGTGAGGGTATTGAATTATCAGTAAAAAGGTCATTTCTAACTATCCACACGGACAATTTATCACTACTAGTGCTGGCAACTTGTAACACGTTACTGAGACTTGGTTTTGTTTAGCCTCATGTTCAGAACTGAAACCATACCCTGTACTGCTTCAAAACTCTGCACATAAGGGCAAAAAGGCTTTCAAACACTCTGAACATATTTAATTGTGACAGTTTAAAGGCAACATCAGCTCAAAAAATCTCCCTTCCCCCACGAAAATTTAATCTGTTGCTGCTAGGCCGACCCTTACCAGGGGAAGGTTAAAAGACGTGGTTTTCCTGCTTGTAAATCTGAAGAGTCACCGTGTCAACCGCACCGTTTTACACGCTGCCTACAAAGACGGCCCGTCCCTTTGTTGACACAGTACCTTCACCCGGCAGCGGCTGACTCCCCGCTCCCCGGCACTGGCCCAGGGGAGCTCCGGCCGGAGGAAGCCCCCACGCACACCGAGAGCGCTGGCAGCAGGCAGCGCCCGAGCCCCGAGCGTTACCGGCACCACACCACCCGCGGCCTCCACCGGACACTTGAAATCGAGGTCAGGAGCCGATTAATCACACCCCG